TATATATATATATTAAATCGTTTTAAATCCCTAAATATGTTTAACTTAAGTTATTCATTTATTTTTATTTCATTTTAGCATATGCCGCTGCAGGTTTTATAATTGATTCAAGAATTGATGCCTTTGCCATTGGACTTGTCATGGGAAACCATTCAAGGAAAACCAAGATTCCAACAACGCTCATGTAGATTTTCTTTACTGCTTCTTAGATAATTTGTACAAATGTGAAAATGTGATAATTTATGTTCACAGTGATTTTTACGAATATTATGTTGAAAACCGTTGTCTGATAATTCTCCAAATCAAAGACGTTTTATATACTTTGTATTGGCTGTTAATTTAGTATTAAGAGTTTTCAGTATATGCGTGAATGTAAGAATATGAATCTTTCATCTCTGCCTATAGATATTTATACTCGATGAACAATGGAGACATTATTCGTAAAGCATGTTACTAGAATCATATCTTCATTATTTACCTTTTATTAATCTTTGTAAATATTTCACATAATCATTCATAAATCATCTGTCAAATGTTACTCATTATGTAAAAATGAGATGTGCATGAATGAAAATGCAGAATGGATTGTGAACACTCTCTTTTCTGTGGTATCTTGTAAGTTAAAATATGTAAAATCATCTGAAAAACCGTATGTATCTTCAAAATTACTTGTTACAGTTACTTCTCACTTATTTGTGTTTGCATTTTTCAGTGTTTGTAGAGCAATTCATTTTTTTACTGATGTAGACACCACGATTTTGTAATAATTTTACAAATGAAGCAACTGAAGAAAAGCTAACTGTATCATGCATTATATTTTAAATACTGAATTATTATTTTTGAAGTTATAAATGGTATTTTCTATTATTTATATGTCTTTAATAAAATGAAAAACAATTTAATATTTTCTCTATTGATTGCAACGATTCCTTCCTCTTTCTAAATCGTTTACAGGACAAATAGTTTAATTTGCATAGAAAATGTGAAAGACAAAAAAGGACACATGAAAAAACATTAATCTTACAAAACAGTATTTTTTTCATATTTCTCCAATGTTCTCACAATAGAGTGTGCATAGGAAACATTATTTTTAAAATACTCAAAGTTGTTTCATGAGTTCCTTTTAATGATTTTCTTTTGAAATAATTTGATTATTTGAATTCATTTTAAAAATTGTATTCCACAAATGGAATCTTGATATAATTTATTTAATTATTCAGAAGATTGATAGTTTCGGCACTCATTCAGGCACTGGTGATTCCGTGAAGGACACGCTCGCGGGTCGACGCACTTTCCAGCTGATGCTTCGCTAAGCGAATCCAATTGAGGAGCCCATTTCCAAAAGGATCCTTGTCCACATTGTTTACAAGTTGAGATGTGGTATCCCTGCACTCACATATTTTTTATCCAACTGTGTATTTCATTAACTTCTAAAATGCCTGAAAGAATTTAAAATGTTATTGAAATCGATGCACAGATTCGAACAGTGCACTGTCCATAAAAGTAATTTCAAAATCTTTGTCGATGGTAATATTTATTTATACAACAACAAAAGGAATATTGTCCAATAGCTGAACTATTGGTGCTAGCGATGTTTATTTCCAAACATTTCATTGTCCATTCCGTATTTTGATAATTGATATTTTGACTTTATATGAGATTTAAAAATTGACATTTCCAAAATGTTATTAATTTTAACACTTTAATTTTAGGTATTTATTTTAATATCACACTAAAGAATAGGATGAATAGCAGCATTAAAATATTTAATGTTTAGGAAAGCTTTTCTATTCAAAATTGATGGCCTTTTCAGCCAATGTAAGTTCATTTTCTTTATTATTAATAAATATTTTAAGTATTGGATGTTCAATTACATTTCATAATTTAGTCACTAAATTATTTTCAATTAATTATAACTTTAATTAAACCAAATCTAGTTGCAAGTTTTGAGAGTGAGGTTAGACATCTACCTGGAGCAATAACTTTATAGAAACGAAAATACCATGTCCATTACACACAGTTCTAAAACAGCCCTTGCCCCACATTCAGTTCCAAAACGGCATATATAAAAATCAAATTTACATGAAAAGTAGTGGCATTTTCTTATAATATTTTTAAAACAAACATTGTTGTGACTATTGTTACTATTATTATTATTGTACCATTATTATTATCATTATTAATATTATTATTATTATTATTATTATTTTTATATTCTTTAAAAGAAACAGAATGTTAAAGTTTCAGTAAAACAATTCAAACCAGAATATGGTAAAAAAGTTACTTTTCAGTTTTCCCAAAAATGTAGGTTTATGAATAAGAATTATTTTGGAAATGAACACCTCAATTTGAGGACGAGGCTCAATCCCTCTACTTAACACACAAAGACATTAAAGTCTGTCCAACTCTTGGAATAATACCAACACATTTTATGCGAGGTTACTTCAAAAGGCAAAGTTCACTCCGTATTGCTATGTAAGTAAATGAAATTGAATACTTACTGAATCGTAAAGATTGTAGATTTTCTTCGCTTCGACAAGCAAAACTCGCATTTTATTATCACTCTTCTATTTTATTACAGCACTTCATTTAAATATTCCATTACTACGTAACGCGCAACACACTACCAAAGTTGCCACGACAATACGCCGGGATTCACGCGTGTGATCCTGTCACGCTGACCGCGGATATTGAACGAAAGCCGAATCGTAGAGTAACTATCAGCGAATTGTAATAAATAAATAAATGAAAATACGGTTTTAATTGCGTCACTTTAAATACCTTCTATGTTTTGGTTTAATTACACTTTATAATTTATTATTACACACATTATTTATTATTACATAAACTTTCCGCCCAATCTGTATTCGCATTTCATGAGTTACTGATATTCATTTTAAGTATATTGCCTTATTACAATATTCTATGAAACGGAAGAATCACCATGATGCAATAGACACGAGCAAACGAACATCAAAATAATCAGTGCAATAAAATATATCTAGGAATCTAGAATGTCTCCATAAACAATGAAGGATCTTGTACTTATCCCACTTATCAGTATATGAAACACAAAATCATTTCTGTAAGACAGCGTTTATCCCTTTTGTCCTTGCAGAACACTTGAATAGTAATAATATCTTAGTAATAATCACTAACGATAATATTCATATCATTCGGAAAAACAAGTGACACAATTACTTAAAAACTTACTAGCAGACTTGGAAATAATTCGATAAATCAATATAAAATTTTGTATCAAAAAATTTATCTTTCAAAGAAATGTTATTAAATAACTCGGCTCTTGCGAGCCGCACGTGAAAGATATCGATTAATTTCTGCGGTGAACAATAACAATGCCAACCCGCTAACGAAATGTATGCGTGCATCTTGTAAGCTATTAACAGCAAATTATTTGCCTGCTTAAGGGACTCAGGTCATCAATTAATGTAATTACAGTGCCACTCGCTGGGAAGGCCTAAATCCTAGGTTCGAACCCCGACGATGGCAGGATATTCGTCCCCAGATGCATCGCATTCAGCAGGTGTCTGGCGAAGAAATTTGGCAGCTGGGTGCTCTGATCGGTAGTTTTCCGTTATTCTCCAATCAAAACCAGGCAAATGCCAGAGCAGTACCCTAACAAACGGGCTACGGACTGATTTTAACTTCCTCTTCGTTGTTCTATCCTCACCTCTTACTTACTCATAATTACACTTACAAGCACTACACTACCACAGACGTCGGAAGCTTAATGCCTGTCCTGGCAGCGACGGTGCCCCGCTGGAGGGAGATACCTGGTTGAGTAAAACCCCGCAATCCGACGAGTAGGAAGGCACTAGATTTCACCTTTCAGCAGGGGAAAATCACCGCCACCTCCAGGGATTAAAATATGCACTACACATACGCAACTAATGGTCATAGCAGGAAACAAGAAATAATCAATCAACCGTAAAACATTTAAGGCCGCAATTGTTCTTCTATGCCTGTCCAATTTGGTGGCGATACAGCAGCCTTCTGCAACAACGATTAATGGAAAACCTTGAGTCTGCGCAACGTATAACTTCAAAAGCATTGTATGCCCCAAAACTTAAAACAGTTGTCAAACAGATTGTTAGGAAAAAAGACAAAAAGTGAATTCACGACAGAAACTGATTTACAATGGAGTTATCGAGGAAGAATATATTGAGTAATTGTGTCTATAATTGGCCGAAGAGACTCCTTTGGTATGTCTCTTGCAAATCAAAAAAATCACAAATTCTTCACGCTCAAACTAATATTCGTCATATGGTTATATTCGTACTTTCTTTCATTGGGCACACTATTGTCCTCTTCAAGAAATTTTAAATACGTATCTCTGAGCTGAGACAAACTTCGCACAAATGCAAGAAATTAAAAGAGAGCGTTGTCATGAAAAGTAGCGCGAAGTTCAACCACGCACATTAAAATAAAGAGCTCTTTCCCGCGAGATCCCGTCTACGGTTCTTTGCTTTCATTCTCGCAGCGAGAACGGAAGTAAGTTAAGGAACAAGATAAAAAAATCATTGAAGTATCTATAATTTTCTAAAGTCAAATCTGTGCTTCGGACATCCACCTACTAGCTACTTTATAATTTTTTTCCAGTGTTCACAACTATTTGCCATTGTTCATTATTTTTTGCTTGTTTCTCCCCTTTCTGTTTCTGTCTGTCCTTCGGTTTTTCCCAAATCCCTGAGTATACGAACTCCATTTCAAACACTGCTCTGTGTAGTAAGATGGCGAACGATTAGGTTGCGCAATTCAATTGTATGTGCATTTGTTCATGAACATAATTTGCGAATTTCAGGGAATTGTAGGTACTTCCGTTCATTCCTCCCCCGAGTTTTGACACTGAAACAAAAAATTAAATGCTGTAGTTTGAAATATAAAATTCAACTATTTAAAATCATACTTTTATCAGAAATATTTTTTCTTTTGGATTTTTGGAACTAGTGAAACGTGAAGTAGGAAACGTTACATACAGTTTTGGACGTTAAATTATTTATTAGTATTAGATTAGTATTTTCAATGTTTACTCGAAGTGTATGTTCGAATGACTGTGATTATCATCTTATGTGTCAGATCATTCCAAAACTTCCATTTAATATGCTGTCTGTCGGTCTCTCTGTGGTCAACGCTAGTTCCTAAACCGCTCAGCCGATTTTCTTCTAAATTGACACAAACGCACGCACATACTTACGAACATGTTTTTAGAAAAAAATACACTTTTTCAGTATCAAGTGCCTCTACGACAAAGTAATATACTGCATATAGCAGAAAAAAGACGTTATTCAGAACCTGGGACATACAATACTCTTTTCCGTGAATCTATCGACACGTTTTCGGCACCATTGCATAACTTTTACAATGCAGAATGTGTAGGAATGTTATCCGAAACACTTTATTCCCAAGTGTGTGCGATGTAACTAAAACGAAACCATGTGATATAATTCGTGTCCAGAAGTTTATTTCATTGTTTTTGTTTTTCATTCTCTTACATAATTTGACAATTAGTACACTACCATATCACTATCACAGAGTTCATCATAACCAATCCAGTCGGGAATTCCCAACGATAGAAGTATAGAGAAAGAGCATTGTCTCGTTTCCTCCATATAATAAAACTAGTAGTATTAAAACACACCGTATTTCAAGCAAAATTACGTGAAAAGTACTCAAATTTTCGAAACATTGTACAGGAACTTATTTCAATATATACCTATAAGAAACAGATTTCATTACGGGAAAAAATATTTATCTTTAATGTTTTGTTTGTAGGAAGACTCCGAAAACATTTTGAACGTTTGTAATTTTCGTAAAATCAGGGATTTTAACGAACAAGAGACCTGTACCATTCTCTTAAATGTTCTTCACACTATCCAACAACAA